GGTATCGAAGATTCCATAGGTCCCTCATCCTATTCATGTAACCCGTCCGCTGGGGTTACTTGCGTAGTAGCATTCCAGCAGCGCCCTATTTTCGTCTCTTGTCCTCTGATGGCTTCTTGTTCCAGTAGTCCACTTCTCATCAGGGAGCCCTGGTTCCTTAGTACCTGACGAGGACCTTGTTAATGAGAGCGACATCCGAGCCAGTATGGCTTCATATTTATCTGTTTTGCTCATGTCTGCGGTGGGCTTGGTTAGCATAGTGGGTCTAGCCTAGGACCCTTACTGGATACACACGCCCCAGTCGGGAATCGAACTTGAGACTCCCGCTCTTACCACTACGCTATCCAGCTGCTTAACGGTAATAACAAGATCTGGGCTATCAACACCTAGGCCCTGCCTGTACACCTGCTGGGATAATAAGCTGGCCAAAGGATGAGATGGAAGCCACTGACATCAAGACCAGGAAGCTCTTGACCATGCATCAAGGGTTTCACTCCAAGTCCAGCACCCTGAGGCTGTCTGCTAAGGGGAAGGAAGGAAGGAGGCCGGGGACTGGTGAGCATCAGTACCACAGTGCAGGATGAGACCACGAACATCTATGAATACATCAGGAAGATGGCCCCAACCGACCGCATGCTCAGTGAATACCTCAGGCAGTAGAAACCCAAGAAAGAGGAGGAACCATCATGGAAGGAAAAGCCCCTGCACGGTATGTACCACCGGCAGATAGAGGAAGTGGCTGACATCCAGAAGTCCTACCTGTGGCTGGACGAGGCTGGACTGAAAGACAGCACAGAGGCACTAATCACAGCAGCACAGGAACAAGCTCTGAGCACAAGATCCATAGAGGCTGGGGTCTATCACACCAGGCAAGACCCCAGGTGTAGGCTGTGTAATCCAGCACATAACAGCAGGATGCAAGATGCTAGCAGGCAGGGCATACATGGAACACCATAACGAAGTGGCGGGCATAGTATACAGAAAGATCTGTGCAGAGTATGGCCTGGAAGCTAGTGGAAATGGTGGATGGAAAAAACAGAAAGAGGACACCCCTCCCCATATAATACAAATGATTATTATTAACTAAAATGACAAAAGTGGCACACTTATGGAAGAGTTTAGGGTAGAGTCACTCATGCATCTAAGGGTTAAGAAAACCTCTTCAAAACATCTAGCCCATTTAAGAACACTGTCAAGTAGGTAGGTGTATGATTGTCACAGTCTACAATCAAGAGGCTCTTTCATGAATTTAAAGAGAATTTACAACAAGATGCAAAGCATTGATTACATTCAAGAACAAGAAGGCCAGATAAGACTTGGCCAGAAAACATCTTAAAGAGCCTGCACAGTTCTGTAAAAACAATCTTTCAACAGATGAAACCAAGATTGATTAGTACCGAAATGATGGGAAGAGTAAAATATAAACAAGGAAAGTGAAAAAGTTCATCGTGTCAAGAATGCCACATCTGTCAAATGTTGTGGAGGCAATAATATGGCATGGGAATCTCTTGCTGGCAGTTGTTGATGTGACTGCTTATAAAAGCAGCAGGATGACTTCTAAAGTGTGCAGGACTGTACTCTCGGCTTAGATTCTGTCAAATGCTGCAAAACCGATTTGACAGTGCTTCACAGTGCAAATAGATAATGACCCAAAACATACGGAAAAGCAACTCAAGAATTTCTCAAGGCAAAAAAATAGGATGTCCTTCGATGACAAAGTTAGAAACCTGATCTAAACTCATTAGAGCATGCCTTTCAGTTATTGATGACATAACTGAAGGCAGAAACCCACAAACAAATAGCAGGTGCAGGTTGCTGCAGTAAAGGCCTAACA